ACAACCAAACAAAAAATCCTTTTCATCTGAAACTCAGTGGAATGATGCCAGGCTTTTAAAAAAAAAAAAAAAGATTCTTCTCCTGAATGCAATGGTTTGGCCATTGTTTGTAACCATTTCTATTTGGTTTTCTGGAATATTTCACCCTGGAAAAGAACACCTCCCCTTCCTGCTGAAATCCCGATTTTCAGCTGGAAGTGTATCAGAAGCTCCTCAATCAGTAGAAGGTGGTGGTGAATATCAGCAGTGATTCATTTTATCTGGAATAATTTCACTCCATGGTGTCTTGCCTTGTTTCCTGGCAGGGAATGCCCCCTTTGTTTTTTCTTAAAGAAAAAAAAAATCTGCAGTTTCCCTCCCCTCTCACTGTTCTCCACTCACTGAGTGACTCAGCTGCAATGTCCTCTGCCGAAGAGGAAGAAGTTTTTACTCACAGGGTGAGGGCTGTGGCAGAGGGAGGTGCCTGGCTTGGCCAAACTGCCCACCTCCAGCCCAAGCTCAGAGGAGGCACACTACAGTCTGGGTTTAGCGACTGGCAGGAGGCTGAGCAGCACTGTGGGTTAGATACTGGTGCAGCCAGCAGAAAGTTTCAGGGTGTTCACCAAAGGGGTGATGAAACGAAAGACGCAACCTCTCAGAGAGGGAGCTCTGAACAAGAAGGACAGGGTGGAAGGACAGGGAGATGCTCAAATAATTCACAGTAAGGTCTAAGAGAGACCTTTTCCTACTTTTTAAAATAAAAATACGCACATCTAAGTAAAAAAGTAATGGAAGGATAAAAGTTTGTGTTTCTTTGGCTTAGTTAATTTAAGATCCTCAACTTGCCATCACTAGCAATCTGCCTTTCCCCACACAAATCTCTGCAAAACCACTATTTGATCTTTTGCTGTGCCATAAATGACAATTTCCTTTTTGTTTTTATGAAGGGAGCTGTGGGTGTGGTGCAAGGCAGACACTCGATCAGCAGGGCGAGGGAAGGAGGTGGGACTGCTCCTCTGGTGGGTGCTGCTGGAGCTGCTGGTGACCACAGCAGAGGGGCACGCAGCCCCAAGGAGAGGCTCCCTGACACATCCAAGCCCCCAAACTCACTCTGAGGACCTCTCCATTCTGTTTCCCTCACAGACACTGAGAAGTCCCAACAAAACCAGACGGACGACTCCAACCCTGAGGACGGCTCGCTGAAGAAGAAGCAGCGGAGGCAGAGGACTCACTTCACCAGCCAGCAGCTGCAGGAGCTGGAGGCCACTTTCCAGAGGAACCGCTACCCAGACATGAGCACCAGGGAGGAGATCGCAGTCTGGACCAACCTGACGGAGGCACGAGTGCGGGTAGGACTGCAGCCCTCACCCTCCCATGCACAAGCTGTCCCCAAACCCAGGAAGGAATGAGGAATGCTGGAACACTTCCCCCTCTAGAAAGCACCTCACAATGGTCTCCACCTGAGATCTGGCACATCCAGACGCACAGAAACACACAGCCTGTGCTGGCCATGCCTTCCTCACCCAGCACAAGCTTACAGTACCACAGGGAGGTCCAGAGCCCAAGCAAACCCCTTCCTTGTGGTACCATCGTCCCCAGCCTCACTGGAGGGCTCCCTTTGGAGTTCCCAAACCACTGTGCAGTCATAGGCACGGTGTGGCAGGGCTCCAGCTGGAACGAGGGCTTCTCTCTGCTACTAGAAATATGAGTTAGCAGCACCATGAATAGCCTTCCAGCAGCTTCCACGCTCCAGGAAGTTATATTGTTTGAGTCCCTCCAATACTAACAGATTTTCCTGTTAGGAGACAGACTTCTAGCGCCCGCCCAGCTGAGGCTGAGGTGAAGTCAAAGCAAGAAAGGTTATTTCCTCAGCTGAGCAGCTCTCCAGCTGCATCCCCCAACTGCTTTGCTCCCAAGTCACACAACCCCACCCCCTGCCCCTGAGCTGTGCACACGTGGTAATACCAAAGCTGTTTTCCTCCCTTTTCCCCATGCAAAGGGCATTTGTTAGTTCAGTGCAGTGGGCAAAGCAGCACACAGAAGGTGGGCAGCAGGGGCTGCCTCTGCTAGCCCATGCCAGGGCACAGATGCAGGCCTGCCCTTTAGAGCCAACAAGAACCTAGTACGGGCCACATCCTTAGTCACTCCTAGATTTCTTCCACTAGTTTATGCCAAACAACTCCACTGAAGCAACCAGGGCCTGTGAGTCAAAGCCACAGCAGAGACCAAAAAGTCATCCAGAGGTGGTTTGTGAATGTGCCACCTGTGAAGGACCACCACCACTGTCTGGCATCAACATCCCCACAGTGATGTAGGACTGGGTGCCTGCAGTAAGTCATGGGCACCACCATCAATTAGGTGGCCCCAAATACGCTGGGGTTATTTGGTGTATTATAAGTGGCTGTGCTTGGGTTTTGACCCAGGTGGTGATTCTCCCCCCAGGAGATGGCCCTGCAGCCCAGACACCTCACTGCGACCCCTTCCTGATGCTCAGCCTCCCAGCTCTCTGGGAACGGCCCCAGCCCTTCTCCCACTTCTGTCTCACTGGGCACAGAGGCTGGAGCAAGGTCCCCTGCAGGGGACAGCCCGGAGTAACTCTATCCCTCCCTCCTCTCCCTCTTGCAGGTCTGGTTCAAAAACCGCCGAGCCAAGTGGAGGAAACGGGAGAGGAACCAGCAGGCCGAGCTCTGCAAGAACAGCTTCGGAGCCCAGTTCAATGGACTGATGCAGCCTTACGACGACATGTATTCCAGCTACTCCTACAACAACTGGGCCACCAAGGGGCTCGCCACCAGCCCGCTCTCGGCCAAGAGCTTCCCGTTCTTCAACTCCATGAACGTCAGTCCCCTCTCCTCCCAGCCCATGTTCTCCCCGCCCAGCTCCATCGCCTCCATGACCATGCCTTCTTCCATGGTCCCTTCCGCGGTGACTGGGGTCCCGGCCTCCAGCCTCAACAACCTGGGAAACATCAACAACCTGAACAGCCCGAGCCTCAACTCCGCTGTCTCATCCAGTGCCTGTCCGTACGCCTCCACAGCCAGCCCCTACATGTACAGGGACACGTGCAACTCCAGCCTGGCCAGCCTGAGGCTGAAGGCCAAGCAGCACGCCAACTTCACCTACCCGGCTGTGCAGACGGCTGCTTCCAACCTGAGCCCTTGCCAATACGCCGTGGACAGGCCTGTATGAAGGGCTGCCCGCCACCACCCGGGGACTTGACCTTAGCCTGAAACAAGGAGACCTTTAGCCCTACAACAGCGTACGTCCTGCAGAGTGAGAGTGAAAGCGAGAGAGAGCAAGAGAGCACGAGAGAGAGAGTGCGCGGCGAGCGGGCAGACGGACCTCTATGAAGATTTGTCTAACTATCGTATGGTGAATTTTGACTGTCTTTGCCCTCCCAAACCCCTTCCCTCCCTGCCCACCAACCCCCTTACCCTCCCCCTTGGTAAGGAAACCAAAACAGTCTACTGGAAGCCCCATGGGGAAGCAGGAGCCCCGGCGGGCAGGGCGCCTGGCCCATGGACAGCCAAGCTCAGCATGTTTCAGTCTGACCCCAAACCCTCCCTTTCCCGGGACAGCCAGTAATGGGAAACAGGGACAGGGCAACATGCGGCTGCTCTTCAGTGCTCAGCCGAGCCCTTCTCCCTGCACGCCTGCAAGATTTCGGTGGAAGACATCTTGCCCGCCTATTTATCTGGCAGATGGTCAGACAGCATAGTTGCAGTTGATTGGCATCTCTTTGTAGCGCATTTATAGGCATGGCCCTTCAGACTTGAAGCCTTTAGGAACTGGGAGTTGAAAGGATATAAAATATGTGTATGTATATATATATGATGTATATATACAAATACATATATAAACATATGTAATAAAATACACCTTTTTGTTTTGTACATGAAATAACCCGTGAAGTAGACCTTAAACCAAAAACCCCCATAAAGGAATCATGTCCACCGAGGCGGTGTTCTGCCTGTCGTGCTATACTGCTTCAGTCATTTCCAGTCAGACAGGAATACCTTTGCCAGTGTACATCCAAAGCATCCCTTTTGCAACAATCAACTCCCCCTTGCACATCTCCTTCCCTTCCTCAAATCCCATTTCAAAAAAGGAAGTAAAATAAAAGTTGGCACAATCCCTCTAAGGCTTCCGCCTGTCTGGTTATTGAGAGCACGACCTTGCACCTAAAGATTCAGAAGTGGAGCACGAGTAGCCTGAGTGAGAGCGAGCATCCTCAGGCAGGGTGGCCCAGGAGGAAATCTCTCCTTGCTGAGATTTCCCCAACTCACGGTATGGGGCCAGTTTCTCTGGGCTCCTTGCAGCCCTCCTGGCTCCAAACAGCACCTCCAGGAGAGGTCGGCTGTAAGAACCCGGCCAGCTGGCCTGTCCCCATGCTATTTATGTTGGGAATGCTGTAAAACAGAGCTGGATCTCTTGGGATGTACACACCACAGCAGGAACTGCTGCTTCAACCTATGCAGAGGGACACAGTGGGTTTCTCTAAGGGCACCAAGAAGCTACGCAGACCATGGAGTGCAGGACAGCCCCACTTGGTACAGGCTCCTTTTCCTCCATGGGGCACGTACCTCGGGGCAAGCACAACCCTGATATTTTACTTTTCTCTTAGAGAAAAAAGTAAAACATATTACCAAGACAAACCATCCTGCTTGGGTGAGGGGGACAGACAAAGCTGGTGCAAACCAGGTTTCTGCAACACTGCTAGCATGCACAGAGGAAGCAAACTGCTGAGAGGGGATTCTCACTAGGAGACACAGAGAGGTCCCCCACATGCAAAGTGTGCAAATCACTCAGTCTTTGCCATAGCCTGTTCCACAGACAGCAGCTGCTGCTGCAGGTATTGGGGAGCAGACACCAAGAACAGTCACAGATATCAGACCAAATAAACTATGCTTTGCTCTGACCAAAATGAGGGAGCCACATACCCCTGTGCTGGAACAGCTACTACTCCATCTGCAACACACAAACACCTAAAGCACACATCCAAGACAAGCCCCAGATCTTACCTTGTTGCTGGGTACCAGTGCTGCTGTGGCAGCTTCAGTGACGGTGGCCTCTGCTCCGGGGCCTCCCCGCCAAGGCCGCACCTCGGTGCCCTCCCACTGACTCCCCATCTGCCCCAGCTCCCCTCCCCAGGGGAAGGAGCAAGGCCCTGGCCACTCTCATTTCCTCTCCCCCTCTGGCTCTCCCACAGCTGGGTCCCATCCTCTGCCTGATCCCCCGATCCAGCTGGTTCCACAGGCCTCTCCTGCTCCTGCACCAAGGCACTGAGCCCTTCAGGCAGCTGCTGCTCCCCCAGCAGCTCCACGCACCCTGCCCTCCACCCCACGCTGACCTTGAGTGCAGGTGGGAACATGGCAAAGCCAGAAGAAACATCTCTCATAAAATCACAGCTTTACCTGGAGAAGAAGTCAAAGGGAGGCCCAGCTTCCCCTTCCCTTGGGTGATGTTTGCAGAGGGAAACCCCAACAGCAGCTGAGAGTAACACAAGCTCCTTCTTCCTTTCAGCCTGCTCTGGTAGCTGTGTGTTGCCTTCAGCAGCTCCATGTTGAGATGAACTTGTGGTGATCCAGCTCTTGTCCCACAGAGAGGATGGTGGTAGGGTGGGATGGGGTGGGATGGGGAGCCCCGGACAGGTGGAGCAGGGAGCAGAGGGGATACGCTGATCGGATGGGGCCAGCGGCTGCTGGGCATTGCAGAATTCAGCCCTTACCAGACAGCCCAAATGCATGCAGCAAGAAACCAACCCCAGCACATGGCTCTCCTGATCTCCTTTTGGAGAAGAGCCTTTGGGGGAAAGCCCAAACCCAATTTAGTTACTGATTTTTCAGCCTGAGATTTTCCATGCAGTCATTTTGATTACCTTTAGGCCAGACCAGTCTGATTTCTGAGCAGGACAGACTCAGCCAGTACCTGCACCAGGCCACTGCTGCGTGCAAGTGCGTGGCCAGTGGCTCTGCAGGCGGGCTACTGGGAGCAGGCTTCTCCTCCCCAGTCCTGTACTGGGAAGACTGTGGGGTCTGTCTCTGCAGTCAGAGGTACTGCACCATGCAGCATCCAGACCGGGTGGCAACCACACGCCAGCTCTGAGCTGAGAGCGCTTTGTACAATGGCACCAAATGACTGACACAACCTGGAGAAAAAAAACTTAAAATCTGCAGACACCAGAGATGGCCAAAAGTAAATATTGGAGTGAGAAAATTGGCAGCAGAGAGCCCTGGGAGAGGCCCCCTGCTTTCCAAATGCCACCTGCCCTCCCGATGCAGCTGAGCCAGCACAGCCTCCTGCACTCAGCTCTTTCCCCAGGCTCCCAGAACATAGATGTGATGCTCACTGGTCCAGCACAAACACATCAAGTGCCCTGCAGACCTTCTCCAGGACCTCTCTCTGCCCCCAGGACCCCAGAACCTCCCTAGCTGTGTCTCTCTGATGCTGCAGCCCAGTTAGGTGGGGTTTAGCAGGCTTCTGCTTATTCCAAAGGCCAGCTAGGCAAGAAGCTCTGTCACTGGATACTTCCCAATCTGCAGATATAGCAAGCACACATTCTCTTCCATCATCCAGATCATTAATGAAAATGTTGAATAAAACCAGACCCGGAACAGATGTCCCTGAACTTCACTCAGTGTAACTCTTCCTTTTCATCAGCGAACCCTGGATAACTCTCTGAGTATAATCATCCAATGGGTTTTGTCCCTACCCAACATCCCATCCACATCATGCTTTAAAGGTTGCTTAAGAGCCTAGAGCATGACACGGATCAGAAGCCTTAAGAATCCACTGAAATGGCAGCCAGGGCTCTTCTTCACCGTGCCCTTACCTGTCACAGGAGCAAATCAGATTGCTTTGACCAGGTTCTGTCCTTGGCAAGTCCCCACGGCTCCTCATCTCCACTGCTTACAAGCAGTGAGATTATCTGTTCCAGCGGTTTTTGGTGGGTGAGGGGATTTAGCTGTCAGCAGGTCCTGGCTTTTGGCCCCAGTCCCTTCTGAAAGGGTACAAAGCTTGCATTCTACAGCCTTTTTATGCCTCGCTGTCCCTCAGCAGTTCTCATAGATAATAGCAAACATTTCTGGGCTTGCTTAGCGGGAAGTTCATCACGCCCAGATGGTCTGAAAAATTCCTGTTTATGTAAACATCCCTTTCTTGGGCTTTCCCTATTCAAGGCCAGGCTTGTAGCCCCCACCCCTGGCATGGCTCGTGCTGCCCACTTCCTCATAGCTGTCTTTTTCCAAGGGCTAATGTAAAGCGTGCAGAACAGTTGGGCCTTCTCAGTGGCTGCCAGCAGCGTTTTCTCTCCCTGCAGAAAAGCCATGCAACACTGTCCTTGGTTACGCTCTTACTGTTAGTGCGGTGGGGAATTGTTTTCTGACACCTTGCTTGGTGCATGCCAGCTTTTACCATGGTCTGATATCAGAGCTCCAACCTGCAGGCTGGGTGTGAACGTCCAAGCTCCTGCTGGAGATGTTTAATAGCTCAGGTAGCGAGAGATGGAGCTAATTCCTGTCAACAATTCCTGTCGATAATTGCCTGGGGGCACCTGGCTGCATCCAGACATGGGAAGAGGCTTGGGGTGGGTACTTTCCCTCACCACCTCTGGCCAGCAACACCCCAGCCAAAGACCAAATTTCTGCACGGGCACCTAAATAACATTAAAACTGGAGAGGATTCCTTGCAGCCCAAAGCGTTTGCTGGCTACGTGGGGTCAGCAGCAGCGTGGTGCTGCCAGGAGCCGGCTCGGGCGAGCTGTGCCTGCCAGAGGGGCCCTCCAGCAGCAAAGCCCCCTGCTGGGCTGTCCCCACCCAGGGCCACCGCAGCACGGCCCCATCCCGCAGCCCCCTGTAAAAGCAGGTGAGGTGGTGTCACCTAGCGGCTGCTGCCACCCAGGGACAGGCTCAGGCTCCAAGGTTCTGTGGATATAGCACGGGGTCCTCAAACAGCCATGTGGTTGGGTCTGCTGGTAACAAACACCTCATTTTTGCTTTTATCATGATTATTCCCAGTTTCACGGTGATGAGCAAAAAGAGCAAGGCAGCAGGTCCAGCTGCCCCTGACTGCAGAAGAGGGAGCACGAAGGGACAGCCTGCCGGTACCTGGCTGTGGCCAAAGCAGCAGGATGCAGATGGGGAGAGCAATGCTTCTCCCACAGCCCAGGCATGAAAAAGGTATCAGATAATCAACCCATACACAACAGCATTTATTAGTCATTTTTACATGTTACAGCAGCGGTTCCCGATGCACCCTGAATTTTCGGACCCTGCTGCCTCCCAGCCCGGGGCTGTCCCTCGGGGTGACCAGGGGCAGTGCCTCGCTCCACAGGCCAGCCAGGGCTGGCTCCGCTCAGCTCCCCGGCAGCAGCCAGCCTGGTCACACCGCTCGGTAACCCTCGGGGTGGCAGCCGCTAACGCTGATGTGCTTCTGGGTGCAGCCAGACAGGAGGTGGTGTTTCGACCTGTGTCGGTGCGTTTAGCATTTACAGCAGATCACATAAGGCATTAAACCAGGCATTGCCAGGGCTCAGCTCAGAGGTTGGTGTTGCTTTTCAGTGACAATTTCTGTGCTCTGTGAGCAGCTGGGGTGAAGAGTGGCCACTCGCGCTTTGCTGCCAGCCCAGGGCACAGTGAGCTATGGGCAAGAGGGTCTCCAGCCCCCGACTACACACCTGTCCTGGCACTGCCAGCCTGACAACCCACATCCCCCTCTGGGGAGTCACTGCTGCAAGGACAGGCCAGAGGTCACTGCTCAAGTTAATCTGAAGGCTTTCATCCACAGCGACCCTCATCACCCCAGCCCCATCAGGTGCCTGAGCTCCAGCCAGGAATTAAAAGTTCCTCCTTCCCTCTCCCTCCCTCCACCCCAGCCAACTCCTCCCTCCCTAGTTTTATTCCCCCTTTGATTTCTGGGTGCCTGTCAGGTAAGCCTTGAAGAAGAAGTTGCAGAAGAGCACCAAGTAACTGAAGTACATCAGGAATGAAATGGAAATGTTTGACCAGGTGACAGGGCAGACCTTATCCTCCATCCAAAAGACAAGCAAGACATTCACTATTAAGGCTATCAGCATCTGCAGGATCTGTGAAACGGTGATGGTCATGGCGATGTAGCGGGGCACCCGAAAGCCCGCAGCTCGCACGGAGTAGTAGGAGTACATGAACGTGTGCACGCTGAAGTTCATGACGGTGAACCAGCCGCCGCCAGGCACCATCTCCTTGTAGGCGTACCAGGCGTAGATGAGAGTGGCGATGTGGTGGTACCAGTGGAGGAAGATGAGCTTCTGCTTCCGGAGAACGATGAACACGGTGTCGCCTTGGGACGGGGGAGAGGTGCATCGTTAGTCAGGTAAATCACAGCAGATGTGCACGTTTTCAGGTGAAGCAGAACAAGTGAGCTGCAATGCTAAAGACATCCCCTGGTTCGAGCCCACCAAAACCTAGCTTTACGTTGGATGTATCTGTACCAATAAAGCCCATGTAGGCACACATGGTTTGTAGGGAAGAAACTTTCTACCGACACATTCAACCCTTCTGTGCAGTGCTGCAAGCGCTTTTCCTTCTAACAGACTTGGCACCTGCCAACCAAAACACTGCCACAGACTTTCCAGCAATTCCTGCTCCAGCAAAGCAAGCTCCCGCAGGGCCGATGTGAGGAATCCCCACGGGCTGCTCAGGTGCCCCCAGCACTGCCCTGCCTGCCGCTGCCCCCTGGCCGCAGGCTTCCCACTGCAGAATCGCCTGTTGGCCTGGGGGGCTGAAACCAGGGCAATAAACCCGGGCTGCATCCCTGCAGAGGGATGACATGACGATGTACAGGGTCAAGCAACAGGAAGCAAGAAAATGAGCAGTGTGCAAGGTTAGACAGCCCCCTTCTCTGAGTAGTGTTTGGACAGACACCTGTGAAAAAAAATTAAATAACTACCTATACAAGCAAAGGAGTTCTGAGCACATTGCACAGGGGGAGGTTTCAGACTCACCCAGTTCCAGGACTTTGCTCATTGCAAATAAGTAGGCCCAAAACTTAGAGACATGGTAGACGTAGAAGGACTGATCACACACCGACTGCTTGAATCCCATGGAAGACGCGATGGAGGCCATGTGCTTCCAGGTCCGATGGGAGCCTATGGCACTGCAAGAAAACCAGAGATCTGAAGGCTGTGCCCAACTCACCACAGGACCCTCGTGCAGCTCTGCACCCAGGAACATTTGGCTAACTCCATCCGGCTCAGGGCAGCCTCAGGGATGTCTGAACAAA